GAGCCAGTGTGTTGTGCAAGGGGGCCTCCCATTTGAGAAGGCTCACAAGAAGGAATTTTTTTATTATAACTCTGAGAATCCTGAGTTTGATCTTCTCTTTAATGATGCGATGGCGAGCAATTCGAGGGTGGTGTTAGATGCATTGCTGTTGGAGTACAAGTCTGAGTTTGCAGGATTTTCTTCTTTGGTGGACGTGGCCGGTGGCACCGGAACGGCGATAAGCAAGATTGTGGAAGCGAATCCTCATATCTCCGGCATCAATTTTGACCTGCCACATGTGGTCGCCACTGCACCAAAATACCCCGGGGTGGTTAATGTCGGGGGTGATATGTTTTCTTCCATCCCAAGTGCCGATGGTGTTTTCATGAAGGTTTTCAACTGTTGCTCTCTCTCTCTCGCTCCATATGTGTCCCCTTTTTTTTTTTTTTTTTTTTTTGTTAAATAATGGTACGTCACTAGGGATTTGAAGTCAAAAACCTTACCTTGAGGCTCGGCAATACAATTGCAATGCCTCAAGCCCTTATCTTATTTTTATTATTATAAGACCAGCCTAAGATAAAATTTGAGGGTTAGTTGATTTCGCTGGGAAGCATCAATAAAAAAATAATATAAACAGTATTTGCAACAAATAAATGACCAAAAATGCCTTAGAACATTTCAGGGGGCATTTTGGATGTTTTATATTTATTTATTTTTAATGTGTTTTTCAAGGTGTGTGTGGGTGAGAACTATGATGTATCAAAAACCTGAATTTTATTTTAACCTGATGTATAAAAATAAAGTTGAAATAGTTAGAAAGGCTCTCAAAACTAAAGTACTCTAAGTTTGAGAGCTTCTAGGTTTGTCAAGAGGAAATTTTCTATGTGCACATATATAACATATGTGACTCCGGGTCTCAGTCATCAAATCTGAGTAGATAGTTGAAATGGCTTCATCTGAGTAGATAGTTGGAATGGCTTGAGTTACAATGTCAGAGCCTAGCTAGCTCTTAACCGTCAAATCTTGATCAGACGGCTCATGGTTTTTTATTTTTTATTTTTTAGTTTATTTTTTAAAATAATTATAAAACAAAATTTGGAAAATGCATAGATTTGACAAGGGCTCACATGATAAAATAATAATAATAATAATAAGAAATAAAAAGTAAACGTAAAATAAAATCGGTGATGAAAAATTGCAAGAATACCCCTAAAAATTGTAGGGCCATTTTGTTCACTTATTTTGACATGAAATACTTTTTTTATTTTCTCAGGTTCGCCCTAATTTTATGATGGGATGCCAAAATTTTATCCAAAAATATTTTGTAAAAAAAATGAAAAATACAACAGTGTTTGCGTGACATTATGGTGTGAACAATTGTAACCATTTGATTCAGATATAACAGGCAAAAAGTGGGGCCACATCTAACTTATATATTGTTGGGGTCACATAGAAACATTTCTCTTATCTCAAAACATAGTCCACTAGGATTATAGACAAGTTATCCAACAAAAATACAAATAGAATTCTTCCAACTTCGAGGCTACAAAATTTCCCACCTCTCCAACTTCTGGTTGTTAAATTTTTTTTTGGGTGAGGCACACTTATATGATTTCATTTTCAGTGATTACAAAATTTGGCATACTGGTTAATGGCATGTAGCCTTGCACATTTGTTTTGCTTTAGCCAGCTAAGAATTATATAAGAAATATATTTATGAATATTTAATTTAAAGATATATTTCACTTCTGAATGGCTAAATATATTATATTGCCAGTAATATTATACACCATCAAGCAATTAGTTTTTTAGACAATGTCAAAAGAACACATCTTATAAGATAGTATCAAATATACACCATCTAAACAAAATGGATGGTGTAGATTTAAGTAACCTTACTTATCCGAACCAGCAACCTTATATAATTTTTTTCCTATAAACTAAGCCTATTCGAGAGCATATAAAAGCCTTTTAATTTTCCTTTCTTATGAATAAGTTGACGTTTAAACACCGTTGTGCCAAACTCTCTTCTATCTATCCAATTGAAAGATATATTTGGTCAAGTAATCAAATAAGTTTTCCATGGAGAGATAGAAATGACGTTCGACTTGTTTTGGACATTGTATCATCAGATCTAGATCTGATCGAGAGAGAGATTTAAGTGGGAGAGATGTTTTCTTAGTATGCAAACTATACTCCTGCAGGATTATACTATGTATATTATTTCCAAAAAAAAAATTTTGAATTTCAAGGTTTTTTACACTTAGACCTCGCACCGCAAATATTGGAGGGTCTTTAGATAATCTTGAGATGTTATTTTTTTAGGTTCAATTAGATGTTTTTTCTTTTTATTAAGATTAATTTATAGGTTGAAAAGGTTACGTCCCTAAAATTTGGGATCCTAAACTTGCTCCTATCTTGAATATTACTCTAGGGAATTAATGAATTGTATAATCCCACGGGAATATAAAATTTTGAAAAAATATCTCCTTATCCCCTATTTTTAACTTTCAAATCTCATGAGACCCAAGAATTGAAAATATTAATTATAAACAAAAGCTCTCCATCGTTTCTATCTTACAAACCCCCTAAACCTTTTTTACCATAAATTTTTTACCCAAACAAATACTAAAATGACACCTTATTAAAACCTCATCTCTCTCCCTCTAAAACTCCATCTCTCTCTCTCTCTTCTCTTCTCGGTGAGTTTACAAGCTAAGGGGTTTAGCTTGAGCTCGAACACGAGCATACCTTCTTATATGTGAGAGAGAGATAGAGTTTGGATTTTAGAGAGAAATGGAGTTTTAGAGAGAGAAATGTAGTCTGAGTTTTAGGGAGAGAGATGGAGTTTGAGTTTTAGCGTACCGTCCCAAGCATATACCTTTTGAAACTACATCCCCCTCTCATGACATGCTTGATTGTTTTCCTAAATTGCTTTTGTGCAGTGGATACTACATGACTGGAAGGACGAAGACTGTGTGAAGATATTGAAGCAATGTCGAAAAGCACTCCCTTCCAAGAGCGGGAAGTTGATTATTGTGGACGTAGTTCTGCATCTTAAGGAAGATACCAGTGCCTTTGCTGACTCGAGGTTGGCA